ACACACATATTTACAACTTGAAAAATTAAGAATCATGTGTTTTACATATTTACCAAATGTTAAACTATTGTTATTATTTTTCTTAATTAAATCATAATAATGACTTTGACCATTTAAAAATAAATATGAAAATAATAAAGGTTCTAAATCCTTATGATTAGTTGAAATTGATACCTTTGTATTATTGTCTAACTGTATAAAACCACTTATTAATTTATCAAAATGAAAATTTTCATTATGAACTTCATCTGGAAAATTGTAATTCTGTATAATTATATCTCTTGATGAATAAGAAGGAGCTAATTTATCATCAGAAATGTGAGTAGCTATAGGAAATGTTTCATTTATAGTATTTTGTGTTAGAGCTAAAGCTTGTTTTGCTTGTTTTGAAAAACTTTTTATATATGGATTTTTTTCTGCTAACCAATCTGCAGCATTCTTTAAATTTTTATTAAAGATCAATTCATTAGAAATGTAATTATTATTAGAAAATTCTAGAAATGCTCCTATTGTTCCTGTATATAATGATAATACTCTTATATTGCATGAATAATTCATAATTCCAACTAAATTCTATATTCTGAAAAATGATTACTTCCTGAGGTCCTTCCTAAAGAACAATAAATATATGCTGGTGAAAGATATTTTCGTTTATGTAAAGGAACTGATTCAATTTCAACAGGAATTGGACAAAGACAAGGTATATTTTTATGATTTTTTTGACTATGACAAGACCTACATATGGGAACTTTTTTTTCCTTTGTATTTGGATGAAACTCTAAATGAAAATTATCAAAAGCTTCTTCAATTGGATATTTTATTTCTTAATTATAAACAATCCATTTTACTTGTTTTGGATATAATAATTTTGTACAATATACATATGCCAAACTTGAATATTGTTTGAGAATACTTTCTTGAAATTTTTTTAATACTAGTTTAAAGTTATTTGTTAAAATCCAAGGTTTAATATGTATAAAACTTATATCATTTATTGAATAGACAGTATTGACTAAGTTATTTGTATTTGTTTGATTATTATTAGAATTTTGATTTTTGAAAAGATTTTGAATTTGTGTATTATTTATTGAAAATTCATTCATACATTTTTCTGGTATATTTACCTCAAATATATTATATAAATGATAATTCATTTTATAGTTTAAAAAGTAATATTGTTTTAATTATATGTTTAATTTTTTTTTATACATGTATTTTTTCAGAATTCAAGAAAAAATGATGGATATTTATATTTTATATGCATGCATATTTTTTTTATTTGTTTGTTAAAATCAGTTTTATTTATATCAAAAAATTTGATTAAAAAAAGAAAAAAAAGTACATATTTTTTAAATACTTAAAATAAACTATATAAATATAGAATGAATAAAATAAAATAAAATAATGAAAATAAGATTAATACAAATTTAAAAAATAAATAATAATAGTAATAAATAAACAAATTTATTCATGATTATCATTTTTTGATCGTGTATTGATTCTTTTTCTTGTATTGGATGCTTTATTACTTTTTCTTTTATTATTATTTTTTTTTAACTCACTTTTAGTGTCATTATCATCATCATTATTATTATTTTCTTTAGTCTCAACAATGGCATTGTTTTTAATATGATTAACTTCGTTATTATTATTATCTAATGCTAAATTTTCTTCATTACTATCAAGAACAATAATTTTTTTATCAATTATTTTTGAAATTGATCTTCTATAAGTTTCTTCTGAGTTATCCCAATTATGAGTTGTTGATAATTGTGCTGTTGATTTTATGTGTGTTTTTTGTTGATAACCTGGTAAATAATTAATATCAAGGATATCAACAATAATCTGACTATTAGGATCAAGAGTTAATTCACCACAAACAAGTAAATGTGAATTTTCATTCATATTATTTGTTTTATTATACAACCTTTGATCAATGTTTAGAAATCTACAATTTATTTGGTATTCCTTATCCTCTGCACCTTTTATTCACTCTTTCACTTTAATTTCAATATGACAAATTTTATTTGTTTTTTTAATTTTTGATGACATACCAGTTAGATAGATATTTAATACACTTGTGTATAAATTTTTAGTTGAAATTTTGGTTTTCTTTGCTGAGACAATAATTATTTATAATTTAATAACAAATTAATTATTATAATGATTAAAATTATTATATAAAAATACAAAAACTTACTTTTATTTCATTAGTTTTTGAAAATTCAGTTAAATTAACTTTTTCAGATATTTCATAAATCGTGTCTTCTTTTATCTCATCAATAAATGAAGGTATTGATAAATTTTTATTATAAAACACAGTTAAATGGAAATTAAAAATGTCATCTTTGTTATTGCTATTTTTTTTCACTCTTGCAGTGGCATTAGCTTCAATAACTATGAAATCATTTGTTTCTTTAATGCTAATAATTGAATCAATTAAACAAATAGTAGTCAATTTAAATGACATATTTTAGAAAAAAAAAGATTTATTGAAAATAAATAATATTTTAAATGTATAAAGTATTTTTTTAAAGGACTTAATTAACTAATAGTTTTTTTTTAAGTATTGTTATTTTTTTGTTTAGTATTTTTTTTTTAAATCTCAATTAAAAATCAAATATATATTTATGTTTAAATAAAGTTTATTTATTTCTTTTTTTTTGGTAAAAAATAAATTTTTTTAAACATCAAGAAATACGAAATTTTTATATGCACAAATGATCTTTAATCTAGTTATTAATCCAGAAGACTACAAATTGATTTGTATACTTTATTACTTAATTTCCTGAAATAAAAAGATTTGTTTTACTGTTTTAAAAAGAAATAAATAATTAAAATACAAATTATAAGAAATAAATAATAATTCTCTTAAATAATTTATTTATTTGTTTATTTTTTTTAAGAAAAAATTTTAAGAAAATAAATAATAATTCCTTTAAATAATTTATTTATTTGTTTATCTATCAAGATAATAATTTCAAATTTTTTTTTTAGTAATGAATAAATAATTTATCTTCAAAAAATAATTAGTAAATCTGTTTATTTGTTTTTTTATTTTGTAAACAGTTTAAATAAAATATCAATTTTAATGATTATTTTTTTTTAGAAAATTAGAAAAAAGTGAATAATGAATAATAAATTTTTTTAAAATAAAAAAAAATCAATTTCGATAATCTATTTTTTTAATTTTTTTAATTAGAAAATTTCTAAAAATAGATAACAATATTAATTTTAATGATCTATTTTTTTTTTTTAGAAATTTTTAACATTGTTATCTATTTTTAATATAACACCAAACAAAAAATCTTTAAAAGTATATGATTTCATATATGACGATATTCTTAAAATTTTAATTTTTAGAAATTAATTATAAAAATAAAAAAATCTAAAAAAAGATTATAAAAATAAAAACTAAAAAAAGATAACATAATATACATATATATAAGAACGGTTGATAGTTTTTTATGCAAACAATTTCCTTATTTGTAATTCTTTGGTCAAGATTGACAAGAGTCTTCATAATAAACTGAACACAAACAAGACTTTTTATTATAAAAACTGAATACAGACTTTTCATCCATTCATAACATAACGTTAATAATGTAAATACAAATAATTAATTATTACAAATTTCTCATTTCAAATAATTTCTTAAGTAGCCATTTCCTATTTCATTCAAATTTAATATAATTGAAATGAAAAAATATATAATTAATTGATAAATCAAATATAATATACTGTAAATTATCGTAGGCTTTTATTTATTATTTAAATTTATTATTTTTTATGTATATATAATTTGTGCAGAAAGTTAATAAAGTTAAAATAATGTACTAAGCGACATTATATTTAACGTTATATCATATATAAAGAACTATTTATATGGTATTTTAATTGCGGGTTAATAAAAAATATTATTTTATCAATTTAGTTTAGTAAACACAACAAAATAACAGTAGTGAGACAATTTTTTTCTGTTATTAAATGACACGAATAACCTATTTAAAATAAAATTTATATTTAAAAACTGAGAGCAAAATTCAATATTCATTATTTATAGAATAAAATTTATTATTTTATCATTTTATTATTAGTTATTACAGGTGAAGAAATTTTTCAATATTTAAAATAACAAATAATATTAATACTATTAATTCTTTTCGGCATTATTATTTACTAGCGAATTCCCATGCCATTATTACATCTTTTTCAGAACTCGATTCACTAAACTCGCATACATGCTTGCATGAAAGGATGCCTATTTGTTTTGAATCTTTGTCAATAACAACAGCACCAATAATTCCAGATGTTCTTTGAAATTTTATTACTCCTATATTTGATCCCAACAGAACATTCTCCTGATAATCTCGACATCTACTTTTACAAAAACCATAGGGAGTTATATCACTAGCCTTGACAACATCTACTGAATACTCACAAATCTCTTTTAGAAATAAGTCATTCTCGATGTAGAATCTATTTTTGGTAAACATATAATATAATAGAAGGTTTATCTGTATATTTATTTTTAATTTGCTTTTATACCACCAACTAGATTATAATGCACTTTACAGAATGGTAATCCAGTTTATTATCTAAGGCTTTATCAAAAACCTTTTGTAAATTTTGTAAAACATTTTTTCAGGTTGGCAGGATCAAGGGAACTTTACAGTTGAATCCCAACATTGAGAAACCCTTTTCTTTTTGGTATGAAATGAATTAATTGACCTGTGGTTTCTTCTTCCCATTCACGTAGACTAAAATCGTGAGTAACCATGTAAATATTTCATGTTGTTTCATCTAAAATATGCTCACAACGTCATCCTTCACGTATAGCTTACAGAGGAGATTCTCAAGATCTTTATTTCAGGGAATTGTTTCGATTATATTTGGAGGTTCCTCGAGTTTTCCTTCGGAGGTTGCACTATCACTAATTTCTATTTGAATGTAATACATAACTATTTTGACAAAAAATAATAAGTGATGAGAAGATTACCTTCACTCTCAGGATTATTGTTACTCGTGTTATCTCATTCGTAGATTAAATCTCCAACTTCCTCACAAGTCATATCGTTAATTTTTATGTTGCGAAAATCAAAGGGGTTAGGTTTTAATCCCTTGGGTACTCGTATAAATTCTATAAATAAACTATACTTTTCATTTTTTGTGCAAAGAAGACCTTCACATAATGTTACCTTAAGATTACAATTTTTATCTACGTATTTTACTGTTCCCTCTTCTTTCAAAAGTTTCCACTTACATACAAGATCAAATTTAACAGGAGGTATAGGTGGCCTGACAATAATGTGAATATATTTACAAAGTGATTTGTCAGTAAAGTAATCACTAATCGTCCCATTTTGATAAGTTGATTGTCATGGAGTTCAAGTTTCTCATCACTTTCTATGCGAATTTGAACCTTACATAATATGCATTGAAATCATGAAATGGTAATCTTTTCTCAATAACTTCCTTGAGTTGATGAATGGTCTTATTTCTGTTTATTTCAATAGGAAATGCTTTATTATTTTTGCTTTCTTGAATAAGACAGTTTAATGTAATTATGTTCATTTGTTGAATGATCAAAAAAAAAATGTCAGAATTTATTGCAAAATTCATCTTCCTAAAAGATTACATAATTTTAGATTTAATAGCAGATGCCATAAACAAATAATTATTTGACATGCATCATGAGTTACTGTATGATTTTAGAAGATGACAAATAAATGAATTACGATATGATAAAAAATAAACATTTAGATTGAGATCAAAAAGAAACTGATATTGATTATAGATAATTATACTGATTATAGATAAATTACATATTATATTTCATCAAGAAATTTTTAAGGACGGATAACTCCGTAAGTTTTCGGGATGTAAAATTTCCGTAAATTTTTGTATAAATTTCCGTAAATTTTCATAAACCTTTGAAATTTTTTGATGTAAAATTTTGTGAAAATTTTTGTAGAAATTTTCAAAATTTTTTTACATCAAAAGATTTCGTTAATTTTTACGGAATATTACGAAAAGTTTTTCGTAAATTTTTGAAATTTTTATTACACAAAATATCACGAAAAATGTAATATTCTGTTTAATAGACTAAATATGTAACACAAAATGATTTTGTTTATTTACCTAAATAATCTTGTTTATCTTGTTTCGAACTTTTTCAAAAACTATTCATGAAATTTTAGAAGACAAAAATTTTCTGGAAATTTTCAAAACTTGTTTATTTCTCAAGTAAATATGTTGGTTTTGATCATCCGAGATTCCAACGAAACTTCTTGAGTCCCTTTGGTTGTGTTAAATTATAGATTAGGGTAGAGTCTTTTTTCTTGAATAACGCAATTCTTATACTGCAATGCTTTGCCTTTTCTGTTGTGTTCCTATGTAACAGGTATTCGTTCAGCAGGTTATGTTCATAACTTTGCTGTGTCT